CTGAGAATTCTGACAGTACAACGGAACCACAAATTGCGGATACACCTTTGTTACCTTCAGACAACTTTGAGCTGTTTTCAGGTCTTCTTAAACAACCTACCTTTGTGAGCAGAACTGATAAAGCTACTGCAGAGCTGCGGCGATATGAAAATATTGATATCAGTCGTAGAGTAATAGCCACTCCTTCAACTAGCGCATCGTCAGAAAGAGTTTTTTCTTCTGCTGGAAATGTTATTTCTGACAAAAGATGCCACCTTTTGTCAAATTATGATGCCCTTAATCAGTTGATATTTTTGCATTATAATATGCAGTTAGGAAACCAATAAAATTAACAAAAATTGTCTTTACAAATGTTTTTTCTTTGATACTTTCATTAAAGCAGTTATGCCATGCACTTGTTTTCAAATCAAGCACTTGTTATTTGAATCGAGCACTTGATAGTGTGAATTACTCACTCAACCGACAATGTGTTTTAAATGCTATCGCACGTTATGTTTGAAAATAAATGAGTGCGAATGTGTGCAGATGTGAAAAGAAAGCGAGTGACTTAAAATGTAATTTGAGTGTAGGCATGCAGCTCTCTGATACCTACATACATACCTTCACAAATATATGATAATGCTGCTCCTTAACTTGCCCAAATTATATGAAAATCTCGTGGTTGCGCTAGAGAGTAGAGACGATTTTCCCAAACTAACTTCATGAAAAATTTAATTAGCTGAAGAAGGCGAACACAGAAAAATCGGTCGAAACGAAAACCCATTTTCAGATAATAAAGAAGTGGTTTTCATTTCCCGTATAACGGACAACGGAAAACGACAAAGCCTCGAAAAGAGAAAATAAACAATTTGTAACGACAGCTTTTTCTTGGAGTGACTGTGATTGTATGAGTGAGTATCTACCGGATGTGAAACTATCCATAATTCTCTTGCGCCGTCTAACCAAAGCCAAGGGCTTTGTCTGAAAGTGGAGTAGAATCTAGACTTCGGAGATCAGTTACTAAATAGGGACGAATAGTTTCTTCAGCTTGAACAGTCTTAATAAAATATTTCTAAAAGGAGCTGGAGGAGTTAATTGAAGAAGAATTCGGTGCTTGTGTAAGTCGAGTACCTAAAAGTGCAGTAGCGAAGTAAAGTATTTTCTTTACATAAGAAAGTACATAAATGCCTATACACTCGGTTGAATTGTTCGGTCAAGTGTGACAAACTGGTTCCGATTGATACCGTCGTAACGGATCCTTAGGAAGACCCGTTGCGATTTTTAAGAATTTTTGTGTTTAAAAATGCGAATATTAAAAAGGCAAAAAGTGACTATGCACGTACTTATGTACACATTAGAGTGGTCAAAAAAAAAAACAGTAAAAACGGAATTTTAATGCCGCCACCCCTTAGAATTGTTCTATACCGAAAAAATATGCTCCTATTTTTTATTTTGAAATCAAACAATATGTATTTAGAGCAGAGATGGGCAAACTAACACTATCACACACATGTGTTTGTATGCGAAGCAGCGAAGTATTCCTTAACAGCCAGTGCTCGGACTTTAACACATTTGTTCATCGGGCGAGTCTGGAGTACAATCGCAGTTTCTGCTCGGA